TCTGTAGATCGATCTCCTGGGATTGTATATCTGCTTGTAACACATGTAATTGTTCATCAGTAGCTTTATCGATGTCACCAAGGAGTTGCTTCTCTTTTCTTAAAATAGCACGCATCACTGTCTCCCGTGTCTTCATGACTTGATCTTTGAAGGTTTGTGAATTACTCTTCACATCTTGAATTGTAGATTTTCTCCAGGTTATGTTATTATTCCTAGCTGCCATGTTGATTCTGAGTGTCTCTATTTTGTTTGTCAGTTGTTCCTTCACAAGAGGGGTCATACTCTCAATTGTATCAACATCCTTACATGCCCTGTGTTTTATACTGCAGCATATCGTGCATATTGCCTGCTTGCAGTCCTTACAGAACAACTCTATCTGTTTGTCTCTGTGGACTTGACACATGAAGCGACGCTTGACCTTTGTCTTGGTGTGATCAGACAAGTGAACCACTTCATGGTCACACAACACTGGCATCATGTTGTGCAACTGGAGACATCCTTCACAGTACACAACATCGCAGACAGAGCACCAAGAAGTGGCGGGAGTTGTCTTTCCTTGTTTCGTACAAACACTGCACACATGTTCCTCAACAGCTAAAAAGACAAGTGTTGTTTTTTTCATTTGTCAAAAACATGATAAGAATCGCACACCATCTAAAGAAATAATAACATATAACACATTAGTTTTGTCATAAACGGCCACGCCCTTTCTGGAGATGAACATATCATATGACACAGGTTGTAATGAAACAATGATGCTGTCTCACAATGTAGGACTCCCTAGTCAATCATGACCTACAGGTAATCATAATCACAAGATTATTATTTGCTGACTAGATATACAATAACAGATGCATATTAAAACCCCTCGGGGGTTACAGCGTCTTTTTAGATGGGAGACTGAACTGACAGAGAACTTAACATACACGTTTTAATTTAACATGCTTTGTTACAATGTTGGGCCATGGCATAACCTGTAAGATGTACCTGCAACTAAAGATCAACCTCACAGTTCTGTCAACACACCCCTGTGCTAGCTGTGGCATGTCACAGTGGAAGGCGACTAAGATCAACCCCACACTTCTGTCAACACAACCCGTCCTAGCTGTGTCATGTCACAGTGGAAGGCGACTAAGATCAACCCCACAGTTCTGTCAACACAACCCGTCCTAGCTGTGTCATGTCACAGTGGAAGGCGACTAAGATCAACCCCACAGTTCTGTCAACACATCCCGTCCTAACTGTGGCATGTCACAGTGGAGGGCGACTAAGATCAACCCCACAGTTCTGTCAACACATCCTTGTGCTAGCTGTGGCATGTCACAGTGGAGGGCGACTTAGATCAAACCCACAGTTCTGTCAATACATCCCTGTGCTAGCTGTGGAAGGTCACAATGAAGGGCGACTAAGATCAACCCCACAGTTCTGTCAACACACCCCTGTGCTAACTTTGGCATGTCACAGTGGAGGGCGACTAAGATCAACCCCACAGTTCTGTCAACACATCCCTGTGCTAGCTGTGGCATGTCACAGTGGAGGGCGACTAAGATCAACCCCACAGTTCTGTCAACACAACCCGTCCTTACTGTGGCATGTCACAGTGGGGGGCGACTTAGATCAACCCCACAGTTCTGTCAACACAACCCGTCCTAGCTGTCGAAGGTCACAGTGGGGGGAGACAAAGATCAACCCCACAGTTCTGTCAACACATCCCTGTGTTAGCTGTGGCATGTCACAGTGGGGGGCGACTTAGATCAACCCCACAGTTCTGTCAACACAACCCGTCCTAGCTGTCTAAGGTCACAGTGGGGGGAGACAAAGATCAACCCCACAGTTCTGTCAACACATCCCTGTGTTAGCTGTGGCATGTCACAGTGGGGGGCGACTAAGATCAACCCCACAGTTCTGTCAACACAACCCGTCCTAGCTGTGGAAGGTCACGGTGGAGGGAGACAAAGATCAACCCCACAGTTCTGTCAACACATCCCTGTGCTAGCTGTGGCATGTCACAGTGGAGGGCGACTAAGATCAACCCCACAGTTCTGTCAACACATCTCTGTGCTAGCTGTGGCATGTCACAGTGGAGGGCGACTAAGATCAACCCCACAGTTCTGTCAACACATCCCGTCCTAGCTGTGGCATATATTGCAGCCCCCAATCAGGATAAGCAGACACAAATTGTGACATTTATATGCTAGCATGTCATACAGATTGTATTAATAACTGACAATAATATAACAAAAAGGAATGACGACTTGGTAGGGGTAGGACATAAAATTCATGTCGATTTCATAAAATTATGGTAATAGGTATTTGAGTTCACCGGAAGCTCTTTGACGCAAACAGAATGTAATATATTTCCCTTTGCAGGAAAGAAATATTTATCCTGCATCAAAATCGATTAACATGAAGTCAAAATAAGCAATTCTATTAGTGAATGCTCGTCAATGCACACAGGTGTGGCTGTTAAAAAACCCTTTAAAAAGGTATATTAGTCAGGCAGTACAATAATAAGGTGATTACCCTTTGTGCCGGGTCCAAAGTCGTCCATCAGCCCCTGTATGACGTGGCTTGGTTTCAGCTGACTGACCCACTCCTCTACTGGACTGTCAGGGTTGGTCACATTCGTCTGTTGTCTACAGGAGGGACATGGTATGGACTTGGCTTGTACTGCTTCCGCCTGTGTGTATGTGTATTTCAGCAGACAGGACTTACAGAATGTATGATGATACTGAAGTGTGCCTGGGTCTGTGAACACCTCTGTACAGATGACACAAGTGAGGTCGTTCTCTGTCGGCTTCTTAGCCAAACTGAAGCCAAACCGATAGTTTAGTGAAGTATATATGCACATGTTATAGACAGAATCATACAACATGTACATGAATGCATCATCCCCAACGTCCCAGGATGTGACATCATTACAAGACAGCGAGACAGGAGTTTAGGTTACAACACGGCGCCCCATTGCATGTATATCTGTGGAACATCACGACTCTTGTTAATTATGTTTTACGGAAGTCGCCCTAAACCTCAAATACCACGCAGTATCATGATACCATTTCACGTTCGCCCCCTAAGTAATCAATATGTTTATTACTTGCCCGTGAAGAGATCATCGGTTTAAGAAACATACTGCTGTATTGCACATTGTGTAATACCAAAACGCGTGCTTATGTACTCTCGGAACACGTTTCACTAAAAATATTGAAAGCTCTCAACATCCCTTGGCTTATTCAACGACATTGCGTGTGGAGATGAAACATCACTGAGAGGAGCTTATGCACACTCGATGAAATTACGTCATCGGTTATTGTGACGTGATTGTAAACTTTTAGGTGCAAGGCCCCGTTCCACAAGGCGATCGTACTGTAGCGCAACGACAGTCGTTGGTCTAAGTTAAGTATTTGAGTTGCGATAACCTTAACGCTACGATAATTTTGTGGAACGCACGCCTGAATTCTGAAGATGGACCGTTGTATGGTTTTAAATTCATACGTTTCAACTTTTGACGTGTTTGAAGTATTATTCTGTTAAACTCAATTGTATTATGCCGTGGATCGTGTAAGTGTCATCCCATTCACACTCGACAGTATCATTCTACAAACGTTATAAATGGCAAGTAATAAATAAAATACTAAATTCGCCCCGTGTAAAACCAATTTTATGACACGAGTGAATAGTTGTGGTGTCTGACTCGCTTTCCCTCGTCAGATACCACAACTATTCACGAGTTTCATAAAATTGGTATTACACGGGAGCTGTTTAATATTCTGTATACATTTCATGAAGTGGAGTGACTGTCTTCATGACCGGATACGGATTGTCCACACACGCACGCACGCACGCACGCACCCACGCACACTCAAATACACACACATCACACACATCACACACACAACAGACAAAACCGTACAGGCATATACTGTCATGGGACATAACTCTGATCAAATCGTGTACATCGCCATAACTGGATATTACATTTAAAGACAATCGGTGCATGAATAAAAAATCTGTCTTATTTAGCTATCACTATATTGTAACCGTTTTTTTTGGCTTTATCCATTATTTTAAACAGATGACACCAAGACGGCTACGGGGTGTGAGGATTATGTTTATTTATAATCAGGATAGACACCCTTTTGTGGTGGTCTATGAATACTCCCAGTGCAGTGCATAGTGAAGGTGGCAATATGGAGTTAGTCAGAGAAAGAAGGTAAAGTTTGAATTTGGCCAATCACAGGGTCGCTTGGGATGTCATTGATCAGTAGAGGGCTGGACAAAGAATGTGGTAGAGCTTGGGTTGTGATTGATCACTGAGGGCTGGACTTAGAATGATGGGATAAAAACAAACATACCTCTGTTGAATATAGTTCAACAGAAATAAAACTGAAATAGTTTTATTTACAAACAAAGCTAAAATACAAATATATACACCTGCTACAATATTTCATCAACAACCAGACCTGTTCCACACGGTGTTAGCGTTGGGCGTCTCAACGTGCGTGATTGCCGTGCACCCAACGAGTTGAGCTGATTGGTTCAACTGTGTCATATGGCCCTGTGACGCAGGGGTAGCATTATGCAGATAGCTGTTTCAATGAATGCTCGCGCCACCCGTGACGAACAGGTCTAATTGTTGATAAAATATAGTGATAGCTAAATAGACAGATTTTTTATTCATGCACCGATTTTCTTAAAATGTAATATCCAGTTATGTATGACTGTTTAATAATCTCTTACCAACTTTGACTGCAGTAGGTCCGATAGTTTTTCAGACATTGTAGTAAACGTCCGTACCTTAAATTACCTTCCAGACTATATATGGATGTAGTCATGGTGGACAGGTGCTGGGTATCTCAATGTCTAGTCTACTTTCTGTGTTAAAGTCAAAACTTTGCCCTCGCGTGTATAGAGTAAAACATAGGTAACACAATCATGAACTGTCACATAATATAAAATCTATACGTGTTTGTGCAATGGCGTCTAAATATGTGTCTTACCTCTATTACAACGTGGAGCTCTCTTCTCTGAAGTCGCCTCTCTTCTCGGTTCCTGGAATAACTACAACCCGCTCGTCGCCTGTCGTGTTAGGTAGATCACGTGATCTGGTTTGTGCAGGTATGTACTTGTATCACATTAGAAGCAGCTTTGTACGACTCTCTTCAGATCTGTACCATCAAGCCAACACTCCAGGATGCAAGAGATTCTTTTTACAGTTTGACCATGAGGCATTTATCTGAAATAATGTGTGCAATCTCTTTTGTTATTATAATCAAACGTGAAATTCTACAAGGTGTAGTTTTCGAGAGAATGTATTGTAACACAGGTAGGAGTTGTCCCCCTTAGACCATAATATTGCAAATTGAACTTGGTTGCCGCTCATGACCCTTCGGAGGTCTTTCCGTTTTAGGGCGGTGGGGTAGTCTGGTGGTAAAAGCGTTCGCTCGTCACGTCAAAGATTCCCAACATGGGTATAATGTGTGACGCTTATTTACAGACCGCCGTCATATAACTGGAATATTGCTGAGTGCAGCGTTATACAACAAACAAACACAAATCATTTCTGGTGTCCCCCGCCGTGATATTGATGGAATATTACAAAAAGCAGTGTAAAACAATACTCACTCAATATCCGGATTTTGTTAGAATAGGTGTTCAGAAACCCATGCTTGCGACTAACGGGATCGGGTGGTTAGGCTCGGTGACTTGGTTGATGCATGTCATCGCATCCCAATTGCGTAGATCGGTGCTCATAATGTCAATCACTGGATAAAAGAGATATAAGAGATAAAAGCGTTCGCTCGTCACGTCAAAGATTCCCAACATGGGTATAATGTGAGACGCTTATTTACAGACCGCCGTCATATAGCTGGATTATTGCCGAGTGCGGCGTTAAACAACAAACAATTTACATTTTACAAGTAATATGGCCGCGGAATATGAGAAGGACTCTAAGATGTCAGGGGAGCTGAAACAAAATCAGAGAGAAGGCGGCAGGGACAAAGATGCCTGAAATCATAGATGCGTTGAGGAAGAGTGCGATTGATGATGATTTGTAGCCAGTAGCCTACCGGGGAAATCGCTGCCCAAATTGCCCATCAAAGAAAAGACTTGTGCTGTCCAAGGTAAGGCAAACGTTAGAAAGCTGAAAATTATGAGTGGATAGAATCGTTAGCACAAGACCTGGAGGCGAAGTTTCTCGATTCCGGGGATGGTATAAACTTGACCTTGGTAGTTCAAAAGGGGACGGTGATAACTTCACATCAGAGATGTGGACATACGCCAGTATAGGCGTCTTGAAAGATGATTACTGACAAAGGAGTGGATATATCTGGAATACTTGACTGTCTGAAATACATACGAGACGTACGTCATCTTGCATCGAAATACGTATGGGGAGATATACTGGCCTATGACAGGACTACAGAGAAATAGGAATCATAGGTCGGCATGTTTAAACCGGAAGCAAACAGAACTGCAGATAAAGGAAGAATTAATGTTAGGGAATTATGGGATTGCCACATCTAAACCTAGAGTTGCTAGTGTGTTTGTTGCTATCCCGAATACTGACAGAAAGATGAGACTTATCCACGATGAGAGTTTCAGCGGGAAGGATATAACACGTCCCATTTTAATTCTGGAAACCCAAAAAGTCCAGAAACTCTACGCTCTTTGCCCAGTCTCGGTTAAAGGTATTTACAAAATTAAACATGCCGTTTTCATGGGAACATACCAAGGAAGAAAAAATGAAAAAGAAATTGTTTAAAAACTCAATATTTAGACTATGTCGCCCATGGGCCTGCCCATGGGCGAAGTCTGGCCCATGGGTAGGCCCATGGGCAGGCCCATGGGCGAGAATATGTTCCTTTACTTAAAACTCATGTTTTTGTTTCGCAAATACATTTAATGTATCCATTCAAGTATCATGACACAAAATTTAACTCATTTTAACATAATTCAACGATTTTATAGCGATATTGAAATATTTCGCCCATGGGCGAGAAAAAGGTTTGGCCCATGGGCGAGAATATGTTCCTGTACTTAAAACTCATGATTTTGTTTCGCAAATGCATTAAATGTATTGAAAGAAGTATCATGACACAAAATTAAACTCATTTTAACTTAATTCAACGATTTTATAGCGATATTGAAATATTTCGCCCATGGGCGAGAAAAAGGTTTGGCCCATGGGCGAGAATATGTTCCTTTACTTAAAACTCATGATTTTGTTTCGGAAATGCATTAAATGTATTGAAAGAAGTATCATGACACAAAATTTAACTCATTTTAACTTAATTCAACGATTTTATAGCGATATTGAAATATTTCGCCCATGGGCGAGAAAAAGGTTTGGCCCATGGGCAGGCCCATGGGCGAGAATATGTTTCTTTACTTAAAACTCATGATTTTGTTTCGCAAATACATTAAATGTATTCATTGAAGTATCATGACACAAAATTTAATGAAAAAATGAAAAAAAAATGCTCAAAAACTCAATATTTAGACTATATCGCCCATGGGCGAAATGTGGCCCATGGGTAGGCCCATGGGCGAGAATATGTTCCTTTACTTAAAACTCATGTTTTTGTTTCGCAAATACATTAAATGTATTTATTTAAGTATCATGACACAAAATTTAACTCATTTTAACTTAATTCAACGATTTTATAGCGATATTGAAATATTTCGCCCATGGGCGAGAAAAGGGTTTGGCCCATGGGCGAGAATATTTTCCTTTACTTAAAACTTATGTTTTTGTTTCGCAAATACATGCAGGTGTTCTTACTATTTTCATGGCACATAATGTAACTCAATTTTACTCAATTCAGCTATTTTACAGATTTATTGAAATATTTCGCCCATGGGCGAGAAAAGGTTTTGCCTTCGAAATCCTTGATTATTATATCATGCCATTTTGGTCCTAACCGCACCCAACATCTTTAATGAACCCGGCCTTATCTCTCAAAACGTTTTGGCAGTTTATCATACGAATTCATGTGCGTGTACAACATTAAATTTTAGTTAGTTTCTATTTCATTTCCCATTTTATGACCCGTTGATACATCCCACTGTGCAATTACGTGGCAGGTACGCGTGCGCGTATTTTAATGGAAAGAAACTATTCGTCTTTTATTGCATAACGTTTGGCTAAATATCTTACATTCTAACGAAATCTCGAAATAATTATTTAATTACAAGCAGTGTCGAACTGACCAGTAGGAATTATGTTTCAATGCGATTGAGGTAAACGTGAGTGAATATTGTGACACTAAAGCAACTTTTAACTGCATTGTCACTTTTGGTATGAAAATGGTAATAGTTAAGAAAAACGTAACAGCCTTCTTATGATAATTCTCACATTCTCATTAGTACGTTGTGTCTAATTACAGTGTCGGCCTTATTTACAGGTGATTCTACAATACTTGTTGTCGGTCAATTACAATCTGCCACACCACGCGTGAATAAACAGTTATGCAGGTGTTGCTGTGGGCAAATACCTAGCCTGTACATGTATATTTTTGTGGATACATGTATTACATATTTTCGTTGATATGTGGATATATTAAGCACCAAGACACAAAAAGTTTATGAAAGAGTGAGTGAGTATGGTTTTACGCCGCTTTGAGCAATATTCAAGCAATATCACGGCGGGGGACACCAGAAATGGGCTTCACATATTGTACCCATGTCGGGAATCGAACCCGGGTCTTCGGCGTGACGAGCCAACGCTTAAACCACTAGGCTACCCGACCGCCCCCTTATGAAAGATGAATTAGTGCCTTGATATATATATTCAACGCGAACGAAGCTTGTATTTTCTCCGCGATCCTGATGTGTATCATCGTTTAATTGGTCATTCATTAAAAGTATGTTGTGAGGCGATATCAAAGGAGCCGCTCAATATACACAGTGTCGTCCGTTTCGCGTGAACTACCACCCTACCCTGTCAGTAAGAGTTATGTAATCGGTACACAAATATATTTGGTGCGATGTCAGTGTGGAAGGAGTTTGAATAACGTCCGCCAGTGGCCACAGAAAGTATAGTGCCAATCAACAAGGCCAATGCCGTACTAATAACCTAGTGACTCGCGTAACAACGGCTGTCAATATGTCTGCTACATCTACCATACCATCATCCCTGTCACAACTGGCGTATTAACGGTTTATTCAAACAATTATTGTAGAAATGTCGTTACCAGACTAACGTACGTCGTATTCAGTCCTCAACTGGATGTCACATTCCTTATATCAGTTAACAGCCCTGTTTGTGAAAATATTTACTAGATATAAGATTTAAAGACTAATAAAATCAATTGTAAGACCGCATAGACCATAAAACCGAATAAAATATGTCTTGGTATCATCTCTTGTGTATTAGATGATGGCAATGACCGGAAATGTTATAACGTTAGATTAAGAAGGAGAAACATTAAAGTGTTTTACAATACTTGGAAACATGAGCAATAAGATGTAGCAACATAAACATGCATGGAATAGGGAAAAAGGATGAAAACAAATTGAAAAGGATTTTAATACAAAATTATCGAACTAAATAACTTGCCTGAACAGAAGGGGTACCCAAACTTGTTTGACAGTTATTCGTGTGTTGTAGACTGTCGAATGGGACTCATGTGTGTACGTAGGGTACGCATATCTATTGCAAGTTTTAGTACTCATACACTTTCTCTTTTTGTGTTTTGTTTGTTTGTTAGTTGTATAACGCCACACTTAGCAATATTTCAGCTGTATGGCGGCGGTCTGTAAATAATCGAGTCTGGACCAGACAATCCAGTGATTGACATCATGTGCATCGATCCACGCAATTGGGATACGATGACATGCATCAACCAAGTCAGCGAGCCTACCACCCGATCCCGGTAGTCGCTTCTTATGACAAGCGCTGTCGCCCTTTTACGCCAAGAATGGTTTGTTGAAGATCTTCACGGGTCTATTGAATGCAGGGATTTGTGTAAAGTCATCAGACAGCATACAATGCCAACTAAAAACTTATACTCAGTGTCTCCGGAAAGTAATATAGTACGGTACTTAGAGTACATGTGAGATTATACTCAGATTAGGGAGATGTTTAATCCATATAACGT